AGCTGAAGTAGATTCCCAAAGTAGATTCTGCCCTCAGGGTTGGCTCAGCTTGCCAATTCTGCTCTTCTCCATCACAAAGTGCAGGTGCTGAGCCAGGGCACCAGGCTGTCCTGGGACCCACAACCAGGCCCCCTGGCTGTCCCCAGGGGCTGGGGGGCCAGCATTGCCTGTGACAGCTTGCTAAAGGTGAAACCACATCCTAGAAGCTGCAGGGCAGCTGGTGGAGAGTCCCTAGCTGGGCTAGAGCCCCGTGGCGTTCACTCCCTGCCAGCCCTGGTCAGATCACGGTGAGCACGGTGGCCCTGGGGGACTGCTTTGGCAGCCATTAATTGGAGGTGGAGAGTCGGGTGTGAAAAACATGGTTTCAGTCAAGAGATGAAATATGCAGTAACTGGCAGGAAGGACAGAGCCGGAGTGCTGCTTTTCTTCCAGGGAAGAAACCAGACAGGCTTTTGGATGACGGCATTGTAAATCATGGTTTACATTTACAAGCAACAGAAAGGAAGGACATCTAATCCCCAGGGGGAGAGGTGTCTAGGCTCAGGGGGGGGACGACATGTCGTGCTGCAGGGCCACCAGCTGCACTGGGGCAGCCTTGCAGGTCTTCAGCAACACCCACCATGGGCACAGGTGGAGGCTGGTGGCTGCCTTCCCCGCTCCAGCAGCACAGAGATACTGAAGCATTTTTCTTCTCTCCTCTTTTCTTCTCTCCTCTCACTTGTTTTGGCTGGAACAACCCCTTTATGGCCTTAGGCAGGCAGGTGGCCCAGGAGGACGGGGTGTTTGCTGAGCAGGGCAAGGCTTCTGACTCATCTGACTGCTCAGCATCTCTGATAGGGGGCCACAGGCCTGGCTGTCACCAACTTTAGGAAAATGTTCTCCAAATGAGACAACATGAGGAATTTTCACAAGTGAAACTCAATTTCAGATGTTTTTTGGTTGTTTTGTGTGTGTGTGTGTTGTTGTTGTTTAAAAACCAAGATTTCTGCTCACTTCAGGACATCTGCTGCATCTTCCCCAAACCACCTCTACTGAGAATCCATCCGTGACTCACATTTCCACACCTTTCCATGGCAGCCAATCCCCTCCCCTCCCCTTCTGCCTCTACCTGCCAGCCTCTGCGGCAGAAATTATCATCACTTTTATTTAAGTAGGGCTTTCTTTTTTCCTTTTCAAATCTCCCTGGCTTTGAGGTTTCCCTGTTTGCCATCTCACCGAGTGGATCAACTGCGAATACGTAAATTGTGGGACTTCAACCTTGATCTGTATGCTGTGGATGGAAAAAAAAGAATGGCTTTCTGTCGGTTTTATGTTAAGTCAGTGATTTTTAATAAAAGGGAGCTTGTTCTGTGAGTGACTTGTCTGGATGTAAAGGCAGGAGAAAAGAAATACAAATCTGATGATGAAGCAAGAAGACAAAACTTGAACAAATGACTTGGGCAGGAGCTACCCCTTGAAACATTCTTTGCCCAGTCTTGGTAAGGGAAGAAATTATGCTATTGTTTGTGGGTTTTTTTGTTTGTTTGTTTGTTTGTTTTTCCACAAGCAGGGCTGTTCTGAGGCTGCCTGTAAGACTTAAATCATAGTCTAGAGCCGTGCTCAGCTACAGAGAAATGAAGATGTGATATTGAGATGGAGATTGCACTGAGACCTTGCAGAGGACAGCTTTGCTTTGGTTCACTCCTGGTGTGCTGGTCCTACTGCATGTGCACAAAGGCAGAGAAGGCTTTGTCTGTGGCTTCTACCACCTCAATCCAGGAAAAAAATAATTCCTCAATGTCCTCATTAAGGACCAGGCAAAGTGCTGGAACAGCACTTGCATGCTGACCAAGGAGCATTGCAGATGGGTTTGGTGCCTCGCTCGGGCTCCGCAGCCCTGAGGAACACTCTGTGTATTGCAGGGTGGGAGCATCTTCGAATGCTGGTGTGGGCAGAGCACCTTTCCCAGCTCTTATCTTGCCCCACAGCTGCCACAGAGAAGGGAAAGGCAGTGAGATGTTCCTGTGTCGTGCCCCTGAACATGACACAGACAGGTGCCACCTGAAAGACTCAAAGCAGTCCCATACTTGACAAATACCCTTCCTTGCATCCTTGATTTGACCTAGAGACTAGGGTTGGAGCTGCCCCCTCTGGTTGGAGCCTTTTTTTTGGAAAGCAGAGATGGTACCAGAGGGTGTGGGAGGCTGGAGGTAAGCTGGGAGTCTCCTGGGGCTGTGGCATTTCAGGCACAGCTGCCTTCATCCCCAGGGGGGCAGATGTGCATGGGCCAAGGAGGAATGATGGGGGAGAGAGGCCACAGCATCATCTGGATAGCTTCACCTTATTTGCCTGCCTTGCAAAACAAATTATCAGACATGCTCTTGGAGAACTGTATCCATCTTTGAAGCATCTTTGTCCTTCATTTTATCATCCCAAATACCATTAAGTGCCTGTTGGGGAGGTGTCTTATCAGGCACATCTACTTGGAAAGGCTTAAAAGGCTCTTGTCATCCTTCTCTTCATGTATACTTTGAATTTATAGCTCCACATTGCTTGGAGAATCCCATTGAGCTGGGAAATATATTAGAAAAGGAGATGGTGCCCCTATCTCCTTTGCTCCTAAGCAGAGCTGATGTTAGGTGCCTGCAGCAGGGCTGGGCACTGGCTCACCAGCAGGACCAGCCATGCTGCTTTCTAGGAGCAGGTTCCCTCCTGCAAAAAATACTGCTTAAGTCATGGGGGATGGGGAGTGGGCAAAAAAAGGCAGATTAGCACAAGGGGATGGTGCTAGAGGCAGAATCTGGTTTTCTTGTCTTCCAGGCTCAAAGCTGATCACCCGACTCGCAGTGTCTCAGGATGAATCTGATTGCATTGCTGTGCACTGGCTTCCCCGTGCACAAACCGAAATGACAGCTGGGTGAGGGAGCGAACAGGGCTGTCAGGGCTCAGCATCAAGTGTCCTGAACGATCCCAAGGGACATTTGCTGCCTTCGTCTTGGCCCAGCCACATGCAGCAGGGTGCAGAAGCAGCAAACATTGCTCCCAGTGTCCAGGGCCACAGCACAGCACCAGCAGCACTGCTCGCATCAAGGGGCTGGCAGAAAGGTGACGAGCCATGGGTTTGCTCACTCGTGGCAGGGTTTTCAAGTTAGCTGTGTACATCAGGCAGTCATGCAGCCAGTCCTCTGCAAAGACTGGGCCCTTAGAAGAGCAGAAACCCTTGGGCAGAGCTGCTTAGCTGGTATAAAGGCTAGAAAAGAGCTTGGCTCTGAAACCACGGCAGCCTGCCACTTCCCACTGTCCGAGAGGCATTGCATCAAGTGACCTCCATGCATGAGGAAAGCTGAATGCTTTTGACGGCTAGCCATGCAGACTCCCCACGGACACTGCAAGCCAACACGGCTTTCTCACCATCTCCCACAGCCCCCAGTTGTAAGCATGAAACCAAGCTGGTGAATAATTCTGCTGATGCACGGAAGAGAAAATCCTGCTCCCTCCTCCTGGGGCAGGCTGGCATGGCTAATGGGAGGAAGAGGCTATGACAGCTTGATCTTGTGGCTGAAGTCAGCAGATCTGGCTCCTGGGACACATGGGAACAGGCAGGAAGCAGGAGCCACTTTTGAATAGTCACTTCTTAGAGGCAAGCAGTGCTTCAAAGGCAAAATCCTTAGTAGGATGTCGTAACTTTGGAGGAGGAGAAAAAAAACACAAGCAAACAAAAAACCCGCAAGCTCTGTAGGGCTGAGAAATGCAGAGTCAAGGAATGAGCTTTCCAAAAAGCCTTCGCTCAGTACTCACATCACTCAGCACGGGCAAGGTAGCAATGTGAGCTTTTTGGTGCTGGTGATTCCTGAGAATGTTAGAACTCGGTGTGGCTGGAGGGTGCGAGCATGAGCTGTGCCTGCCCAGGGATCGCTGCCCCGTGGCAACACAGGGTGCCACCAGTGGCAGTGGCACTCGAAGCAGGTGCCAGCAGCCACAGGAAGGAGGGAGGTGTCTGGGCGCATGCCTGCACCCGCACTAGCGTGGATAAACTTAGAAAATTGGGATTTATCCTACAGCCTGGATGAGTTGTGGGGGGGGGTCTATCTTATAACCCGTCTGGGATCAGGTTGGGGCAGGAGGCTGAGCCTGGGAAACTGGCGCACATGGAGATGGATGCAGGATGTGGTGGGTTGGGTTACTGCAGTTTGCAGTGCACTCAGCTGCTTGGTGGGGAGCTGCCCGGAGCTTGCGGGATGCTCACCCAAAAAGGGGCAGCTCTCCCTTTCCCTAATGCCACCACTGGAGAGCAACTCTGTAAGTCCTGCTGAGGATGGAGCCATGGAAAACTGAGCATGTGGCCAGTTCTTCCAAGTCATCAAATCCCTGGCAGCTACTTTTGGGAGCCGGATCGGTGCAGGAGGTGCTCAGCACATGCAGCTTTGTCCCCAGTGGGCTTCTGGCTCCATCCTCCCCACTTCAAGCCCTGCTTGAACCCCAAGTTACAGAAAACCTGGTAGCTCCCAGAGGCTATCCTCAGGCGCTGGAGGAGCTAAAAGCAGGCTCCAGGAGGGAAGTGGTTTGGAGGGAGATGTTTGTCGGTGATGAGCACACTGCCACGCCGCGGGAGCCGTGTGGCAGCTGGAACTGGCAGCCAAGTGGCTGTCCTGCTTATTTTGGCTGACTTCAGAGACCTCTGGCTTTTCCTAGTAGCACTTGGATATGCTGGTACTCAGGAGACCTGACCAGGCACATTCAGACAACACCGAAAATATCCTCCATGTAGGCAACAGAGGCAAAGGGGAGTCAGCAGCTGGGCTCTCCAAGAGACAGGGGACCAGGCTGCCACAGGATGGTTGTTTTGCTTGGCCTTGCTCTCTGCCATGCAGAAATGCATCCTGTGGAGCAACTGCAGTGGCACTTTTAAGGTGACCCAGGTGAGGGGATGACAGGCTTGGGTCTCCTCACCTCCTGCTGAACATGAGTGTGTGCTCCCCCAGTCCCTGCCTCCTAACCCATTGCACTGGCTGTTGTGGCAGGTACCTGGCAAAGCTGTCTTCGGTGGGGAGCATCTCTGAGGAGGAGACCTGTGAGAAGCTGAAGGGCCTGATCCAGCGCCAGGTGCAGATGTGCAAGAGGAACCTGGAGGTGATGGACTCGGTGCGGCGCGGAGCCCAGCTGGCCATTGAGGAGTGCCAGTACCAGTTCCGCAACCGCCGCTGGAACTGCTCCACGCTGGACACGCTGCCTGTCTTCGGCAAGGTGGTAACACAAGGTGAGCCAGGCACACACACATGGGGTGCTGCAGCACAGGGGAGAAGCACCAACAGCCCGGCCGGGTCCTTTGGGCTGCAGGGGGGTTTGGGGTTTCATTTGCCACCGAGCCAGCAGCTGCAGAGTAGGGAACAGCCCTGCACTTGGTCCTGGGGCTCACAGCCCTTCCCTGGGCATTGCAGCAAAGCTCTTCAGACTGTGCTGGCAGCAGCATATCGAGGCCCTTGTGGTTCCTCAATTGCTGGATGGTTGCTCTGCTGAATCTTTTTCACACCCAGTGGGTGCCCATCATACGTAGGCACCAAGGAGGCATCAGCCCCAGGCATCCAGCCTGGAGCTTTTACAAGGACATGCCAAGCTCGAGCAGGACCATCAGATTGCTCAGTGGCCCCGTCTCCATCCTGCTGAGCCAAGGAGCTTTGCTCTGCAAAGCCACAGCTGCAGCAAGATGCTGGATGTATTCAGTCTCTCTCTTCTCTGGGCAGCACCACAGTGGTGACTGCTGCCAAACAGCGCTGCTCTCCAACAGAGCCATCTGCGTGCAAGGCCTTGTGAGGACAGCCCTCTGCCGCCCAGCGAGAGTAAAACACGCCGCAGCTGGACCCTCTTTGGAGCAGCATCGGCTGCCACCACCACACTGCCAGTGTTTCGGGGAGGATTTATGGCCAGGACAGCACCTGGCCCCTGCGATCCCAGCTGCACAAAGGCATCCTGGGGGCACAGGGCTGTGACCAAACCAAGCGAGGGCCAAGAGTCTCAGGGTGAGGAGCCGGAGGGGAAGGCCACTCCAGCACCCCCAGAGACCTCCAGTGGGGCCCTTGCATCCCCTCGGGTGCCACCCAACCTCTGATGCACCGAGCACCTTCCCATCTAGGGAACCGGTCAAAGCTGTCACCAGCTCCTTGTTTGACTTTCCTCCCCTCGATACAGGGGTGAAGAGCTCTTCTTGTGAAGGTTCAGGACTGGAAATACCAGAAATACCAGAAACTAAAAGTCGCCTCTTTTTAGTCAGCCACAGCACAAACAGACCAACATGATCCTACCATTAACCTCGATTAACTTGGAGGCGGTTCAGTCCCACCGCTGGCTGGGCCTTCCCCAGCCACTGCTGCTTGGCCACCAAAGCCTGGGCTGCGACCACCAAAGTAGCTGCCCTCTGTCCAACCGGTGAGCCAGGGAGATATCTGCCACCCCCACCTCTGCCTTCACACAGCCCTAACACATGGCTACCCAACACACCATCCTTCCTCTTTGGAGAAGAGCTGTGTCCTTAGCCCCCTCCTGGCCTCAGAGGCTGGTGGGTGTTTGAGTTTTGCAAGCCACGATCCCAGGCTGTGCCGCCCCTGGGATTTGTGTCCAGAGGTGTCCCCATGCAGATGGTTCAAGTGAGTTCTTTCTCTCTGGGTGCCACCACACAGGTAGTGCAAGAAAGTGCAGGGAAGGGACTGCTCCTCGAGACTGGGCTGTGATAGTAGAGCTTTGCAGGCTGTTTTTTGGAGGTGTCTACAGCTCCGGGATGCTGTGTGTCAACAACAAGGGTCTGCAGCTGCAGGGGGCAGTCCTGGATATCAGGAGCAGTGCAGAAGTATAACTGGGGTGCCAGAGGGCTCTCATGAAGGGGTGCCCTGTGAGCACCAGGCAGGACAGTCACCCCACGTAGGCTCAGGAGAGCTCTCCCCATGCTGGCGATGCAGCCTTTGCATCTCTCTCACTGCCAGGTTAAAATCTTACCCATCACATTCAGGTTTTAACCTTGCAGGGCAGTTCCCAGCTCCTTGGCCATTGCAAGATGGGGCTTTTGCTGCTGCAAGCAGCATAGGTTCCTCCGCTGGGACTGGTGCGGGCTTGGGACCAAGCAAACATCATGCCTGGGAGTGGGGAGGATGAGTCCTGCATGTGGGACCGCATCGCTGGGGAAGGGGAGACAGAGCAAAGGGATTGATTTGCTAGCTCTGCATGCGTGTTTTGCTAAGAGTCCATTTTCAGACCAGATTTTCAAGAGGTGTTATGTGCAACACCAGGGCAGGGAGGAATGGGGAGAAGAGGCACATGTAGCAGCCCAGCCCAGCCTTGGCCACCTGAGATGCACAGCTTCAGAAAGCCCTCTCACGTGCCTCGGCCCTCCTGCCATGTTTTCCACCATTGTTTGTGCCGTTGCAGGGACGCGGGAGGCAGCATTCGTCTATGCCATCTCTTCGGCAGGGGTGGCCTTTGCAGTGACCCGCGCCTGCAGCAGCGGTGAGCTGGACAAGTGTGGCTGCGACCGCACGGTGCAGGGGGGCAGCCCACAGGGTGAGTACACACAGTGCGGGAGCTGTGCGGGGACGCAAAGCAACCGAGCATGGCAATGCCCACTCTTGGGGGGCCACCCTTAAGAGAAATGTAAAATATATATGTATAAATAAATAAAAAGAAAGACACCTGGGAGCACAGCCCAAAGGATCTTGTCTGTCCATGTGTCCTCCCCCCCCAAAGGGCTGCCCTGCTCAGGCTTCCCCAGTCTGGTGACTCACATGGGCAGCCCAGCCTGGTGGACAGCAAGACAAGTGGGCAGATGAGCAGTAGTTTAGCAAGAGCAGGGCTGAAAGGGATGAGCAAGGCAGGCTGGCGTCTGGTGTCATGTCTCACCCATGCCCTGTGCCTTAGGCTTCCAGTGGTCTGGCTGCTCCGACAACATCGCCTATGGTGTGGCCTTCTCACAGTCCTTCGTCGACGTCCGTGAGAGGAGCAAAGGGGCCTCTTCCAACAGAGCACTAATGAACCTCCACAACAACGAGGCAGGGAGGAAGGTAATGGTGAGGGGGTACCCGGGCAGCCCAGCAGGGTCTGCAGCCACTGCTCGAGTCCCTTTGGCTTCACTTTTAAACCCCCTATGTGCAACAGAGCCCTGTCCCTTTCTGTCCCACCTTCCTGCTGCATCCATCCTGTGCTGACCATCCTGTCTCCTTTCTCATATGTCCTTTCTCATATCTCCTTTCTCGCTCCTCCAGGCGATCCTCAACAACATGCGGGTGGAGTGTAAGTGTCATGGTGTGTCAGGCTCATGCGAGTTCAAGACGTGCTGGAAAGCCATGCCCCCCTTCCGCAAAGTGGGCAACGTGCTGAAGGAGAAATTTGATGGTGCCACAGAGGTCGAGCAGAGTGAGATCGGCTCCACCAAAGTGCTGGTGCCAAAAAACTCCCAGTTCAAACCGCACACAGACGAGGACCTTGTCTACCTGGACTCCAGCCCTGACTTCTGTGACCACGACCTCAAGAATGGGGTGCTGGGCACCAGTGGCCGGCAGTGCAACAAGACCTCCAAGGCCATCGATGGCTGTGAGCTCATGTGCTGTGGTCGGGGCTTTCATACGGACGAAGTGGAGGTTGTGGAAAGGTGCAGCTGCAAATTCCACTGGTGCTGCTCCGTCAAGTGCAAACCCTGCCATCGGGTGGTGGAAATCCATACGTGCCGGTGATGCACAGAGGGGAGCTCCAGTCCATTCCCCTCTCTAAGTGACCCTGCTTCTCTCTTGCCCCAGGGCCAGGACTGAGGAAGTGGCCCAGACACTGCAAGGAGATTGCAGCTCTTTACAGAGACAGAGCCCCAGAGGAAAACAGATTTTAAAGAAAAAAAAATATTTAAAGTTAAAAAAAAAAAAAAAAGCAATTGTTGTATTTTTGTTTGTTTGCTTTATTTATTGTTGAAGCCAAAGCCCCACAGTGGCCTCCTGAGCCAGCAGGGACGTGCCTGATCTCACCAGGTGGCCAGGGACCTGCACGATGCCTGCTCTCATCGACGAGTTCCTACTGCCTCTGGAGCATTGTGAATGGGCGATGGCTAAGCCGAGACTGGCATTAGGCACTCAGTATCTTCTATCACAATGATTTGTATTTGTTTAAGGCATGCACTAAGCAGCCCGGAGCACTGCTTGGCTCAGCTGAGCCTTGAGAGGCGATGGAGTGCAGCCAGGATGTGCAGCTTGGGGCATGGCAGGAGATGGGGAGATGGCAACAGGGTAGCACTGTCCCTGGGTCTTAATGGCAACACAGAGAGCCCATCTAGAGCTATGAGAATATGGAGGGGACGTGGCACACTCCTGCATGCCCTTGTTGTGGGATGCTGAAAGGTCTCCTGGGCAGCAGCTAGCTTTTGGAGCAGCTCTGGCAGCTGCTGTGATTTACAGAAGCTCCTCAGCAGCTGCCCAGGCTGTCAAAGGACACCACACCCCCACTCAACTCCCCTTCCCCTTGCAAATCCATTTACCCCCTCACTGCTCCAGCACCTCACTGTGCTGGAGCCTGTGGAGAGGGTTCAGGGAGGCTGTGGTACCTGCAATTCAAGGGAGAGATGGGAGCTGGTGGCAGGAAATCCCAGGGGATTTCTTTCCCTCCTTTCTATAACTGCCCCTATCTCACTCACCAGCATCCCACCACCAGGTCTGCTCCTCTTCCTCTGTGTGTGCTTTCCCCAGGGCATTCTCCACAGCCAGTGAGGGCTCCTGGGGACAAGGTTGGACACAGCCAGTCCCCAGCCTAGTTTTTACCAAGAAAAGCAGAAGTTTAAAGCAAAGCAATTGCTGGGGTGAGGGGAAGACGCTGCAGGGGGGCATGCAATGCTCATGCTCTGCTGCTACTGCTGCCTCATCCTCAGGCAGTGTGGGAAGAAGGCTGAGCCCAAGGGATGCTGCTGCGTGTGCCCCATGTGCAGGGATTTAGTGCAGCAGAGCCCCAGCTGCCCTGTGCCCGCAGCAGCACCGCAGGGACAAAGTGCTGTCCTGCCCACTCCCACCTCCCCGCCACCTGGTGCAGCGTCCTTGCTGCTAGGCTGCAGGACGAAATATTTGGAGAACTAATAAGCAGTGGGGCACTGCGAGGGGAGGTGGAAAGCGAACCAGTTTTCTGCGAGTTGAGAGGCAAAGAGAGCAAAGAAAAAGCCCCAAATGGTACCTCAAGCCAAGACGAACATCTGCCCAGAGTGCCAGGAGCCACTGTGGGGTGGCATTGCGTTTGCTGTGTGAGCAGGGAGCGCCCACGTGCAGCCAGCCCATTCCCCTCTGCCCACCTCAGTCCAGAAAAGCCCAGAGTCATGACCATCACCATCTGGGCTGGGGGTCCTTGCAAACCTGCAGCCTTATTTTTCTTCCCTGTTTTGCCTCGAGAGGGGAAAGGTTAGGGGAACACGCAGACATACATTAAATCCCGTCTGTGCTGTGGCAGTGATGGGCTGGGGGAGAGGCTGTGGTCGCTGGAAGGTCTCCAGACACCATACGGCTGGAAGGCTTCTGACAGCTGACTTGATGCAGCAGCGCTGCAGCTCCCAGGGCCAAGCCGTGTGCCTGGAGCAGGCCCCTGCTCGCTTCCTCCACACCACGGCAAAGGGGAGGCTTGCACCAAGGGACCCGCCTGTCACCCAGCTGCCCGGCTCCCCAGACCTTCAGCAGGGGGCACCAGGTGGCAGCAGGGGGCTGGCACCCAGCAGGAACCCCAAGGTGGAGCCACCACAGGTTGAGGCATTTTCATGCAAGCTGGAGATATTTGAGCAGGGCAGCACGGAGCAGGGGCTGCCTCGCCTAGGATCTGCTGGGGATCTTGGCTCCGCTCCCCCACCCTCCGGCTCTCCAGGTCCCAAGGCTGCAAGCTCTCAAGTACCTTGGAGACTGCTCCTCCTCTTCCCAGCTCACGCAGAAGAGGCCACAGACCTCAGGCCACTAGCCAAGTGTTCTGCTCGTTGTCCATCTAGGACGAGGGCCAAAGCTGAACAAGACAATCCAGATCAGTGTGCAGATAATCTCTGCATATGGGATTTTTTTTCAAACTGCGATGAAAGCTGAGCCCTGTAAATGTCACCCAGAGATACCCTGGCTCTGTAGCGCTCTGGCTCTTCTCATAACTAAATTTCAGCAGTGGGTTAGGGGTGGGAATGCTTTTTTTTTTTTTTTTTCATATTTACTTTGTCTATTAAGTAATGAGTTTGTGCTGAATTAGCCACAGGGTTTTCTTTTCCTAGCAATCAGGCTCCGCTGGGCTGCGTGAACGCAGCACGCTGCGAACAGGAGATGGATCATCGGTCTTCTCCTGTGAGGCCTCACCCAGGAGGAGAGGTGCCCACGTGGCACAGTGCAAAGGGGACACTGAGGCCCAGCCTGGGCTGTCCTTGTCCTTCCTGAGGAACCTCCCAACCTCAGGCGATGCTAGCATTTGGGCCACAAGCTGCATCTCTGCTTTCTCAGCAGTGTTTCCCCTTGTTGGGCTCCTGGTGAGCATACAGCCATCAGTTGCTGTGCTCATTGCTGAGGCAGGTCCTGTTTTTGCTCTTCTGAGAGGCTGCAGCCCTGTGCCAGGGCAGGGGAGAGGGGGACCCAACAGTGCTGAGGGCAGCAGATTGCCCCAGCTCATGCAGCCAAGCCTGGGTAGGAGTTTGCTCCCTCATCTTCTGCCTCAACCACTTGACACGCTGCTGGCTTAAGAGGCCACTTATCTTAGATTTCAGTGTGTCCAACTTCCTCCTATAGGCAAGGTGCTGATATTTGTCTCCTTAAAGCAGTGCTTTCCTCCCCTGCCAAGGGGCCAGAGCCGCTGTGCAGGGTCGGCTATAGTGCTGGAAACATCCTGCCAGTTCCCGAGGTTTGGGCTGGGGGGCAAGAACTGCCCACAGACATAGAGCCAGGTACCTGTCAGGTACTTGTCTCCACCCCTGCACTGTGGGATGCTGGATTTGGAGGGGCTCCGATGCCAGGTGCCCAATCCACTCCGCACTGACCCCATCAGCACGTTCCACTCATCCCTCTGCAAGCCAGGGGCACTCAGCTGCCAGGCTCATGCCAAGGAGCACGGCTGAAGGCAGCCAGAAAGCACCATCACACCCTGCTCATCTCAGCCAAGGGGACAGACGGCGTTCGGTCATTCCACAGGAAGAGCATCACCCCTTAGCCCCACGCTGTCCCACACACAGCCAAGTACCCCCAGAATGCCAGCGCTGAGTGCCTCTGTACTGGAACTGCCTGCTCCAGCACCTTGGGGTGCTGCTGGGGCTGCATGCACCCTGCCCTGCCCCTTTGGGTAGTTGTAGCTCTCTCTTTTTGTGCTCTCCAAGGGCATTAATACTCCCATGGCAGCTCAGCCCTCCTTTGAGCAGCATTCACTGTAGAACTGATGGCTTCTCTCACTTTGGCCTCTGTGGGTGGCAGGGGTTAAGGCTTTTTTCTTATTATTTATATTTTAACTTTTGTTGCAGGAATAGGATGGTAGGATAGGATAAAATGAGCCCTACGCCTCCCAAATACCTTTCCTTTCTGCCACTTTCAAATGGCTCCTCTCTTCCTTATGGATCCTGTCCCACAACCTCCCCAGCTCCATCTCTTCCCCTCACCAAACCAGCTTCAGCCCCAGGTGAGGGACTGTGTCCATTTGCCCCCGACACCTCCCAGTACAGGGGTAGAACAAGGACCCCTTTCTTGCCCTTGCTGGCACAGGGAGCTGCCAGCTCCTCTGCAACCCTAGAGGAGAAGGACGCTCCTGACCCCCTCCTCCAGTGCTCCCCAGGCCTGTGACATCTCTCTTGCCCACTCAGACATCCCTGACATCCCCCACGCAACCCTGAATGTCCCCCTGAGTCTCTGCTCTCTGCTGCTGCCCATCCCATGCCACCAGCCTCACTGGCCCACCACATTTGGGCCAAGAGCCCACCCCTTCACACAATCCTCCCTGTACCAACCCCACAGCCCCAGTCCCCAGCCCCTCAGACATCCTCTGCTCTGCCTGCTGAGCTCATCTCCCCTCCAAGGACTCACAGCCCAATGACTCCACCCCGCCTCTCCTGCTCGTAAACCTTCCTGGGTGTCCCACTGCCAACTCAAGATCATCGTGGGGAAAACAGGACGTCCCCTCCAAGTCCTTCCCACCCTGCTTCAGTGGATGGGTAACTCCAAGAGCTTTTTTCCTATTCCCCGAACTCCCAACTTCAGCACCGTCTTCTGCTCCTTCCCTCTTCAGGGAATCCCACCCCATGTATCACTGTATGCTCAACCTTGGCTGTTCCGTGCTTTTCTGCACTTCACATTTGCCACATCTTTGCCCTCCAGTCTAAGCAGGACACGGCCAAGCATATGGGGAGATCTCCTCTTTCCCTCCTGCTGTCTTGGCCACACCACGCTCATGCCCTTTGCTGGCTGTGAACACTTCTATCACTCCCAACTATCTCATCCTCCCTCCCCAGGCATGCTCAGACACCCTGCTGCTCTACTTCCAAAGCAGCAAAGTCACCGTGGGTACTGGGCTGCAGAGAACAAATCAGCACTTGCATCCTTTCCCTCCCCTACGCCATTCAAGAACATAGCAGCAAATTCCTCCTGCATGGGACTTGCGCTCTTTCCTAAGACTGGCAGCACTCCGCACCCTGGTAGTGGTGTGCACAGCAGTTTTCCTGTATCTCCTGCTCTCCCTCTATCCACATGAATTCCCTGAAGTCAGCTGGCCATAGAGAAGCCAGGCAATGAAGGTGGCAGGATGCAAGAGCCTGGGACCAGGCAGGACAGGTGCTTTTCTCCCTGCTTGGGCAGACAACAGAAGAGGATGAGGCCTCCTTACATCATGGGAATCAGAAAGGATGAGTCCCACCTCAGCGCCTACACCAGGGTGCTCCAACTTGTGCTCACCGACGATGTCAGCAGTGTCTC